ATCTCCTTCAAGGAGATGATGACAGTGAGTTCAAGCACTGTCACACACTACTGCCCTTGGCGACCTGTAAGGGCCATACACTGGCACACACCCGCATAACTCAGATCCTGTCATCTTGGTTACCATCAGCTGGCAGTTGGGATTTTTTTTCTTTTTCTTTGTTATGTTTTTATGTTGTAAGCCACCTAGAGTGGTCGAAATGACCAGATAGGAGGGGGTATAAATAAAATGAATGAATGAATGAATGAATGAATGAATGAATGAATGAATGAATGAATGAATAAATAAATAAATAAATAAATAGGTGATATGGGATTCATCTTCCATGACAGCACCAGGAGCTACTGGTAGCTATAACCAATAAAAGTGGGGCTAATTTAATCCAAAAATGAAACTGGTGCCTATGTGTTTATTGAGCCCCCAGACTCTGGAGCCATTAGGATGGCCCAGTAAAAATACCACGGAAGTATTATTGCAAATATATTGAAAGAAAAGGTGAAACATGCCAGAAAGGTTTTCAAACTCTTCCCTTCTGCCATCATCCTGTTACTTGACTACACTCTTTGCTTAAAGCACTGTGTGGACTGTAGGTTATGCTTGGGTTTGTATTCAGAATATTTTTCACCCTTACCTATTGACAGGTCTTTCAGAATCCAGCAGTTTTAGAATGGATTTCCCATCCATATCAGGTGGTATGTCCAGACCAGCAATATCTAGAATTGTAGGAGCCAGATCAATGTTCAGTACAATGTGAGGATTCCTGAAATGAGAGATACACAGACAAGTTTTATTAAGCATCTCAAAGAGTAATCATAACCTACAGTAGTCCTGAGAAGAAAGAGAATGGACGAATTTGGATAATTATATTGTGGTTAAAAAAGCCAAGATATGTGTGAGTCATTTGTCTGTTCATGCCAACGTTCTATGTGAGTCAACAAATAAGTAAGTCTTCAGATAACTATGTTTTCTGATTTTGTTTGAACAAGGAAACCACAGTTAACAACTGCGGAATGACTCAGCATAATATCACCATGGTTTAACTTGGTTTAATATTTTGGCTTTTTCTGAAACTTTTAGCTATAATGTCCTGGTTCAGAAGAAACCAGAGATAATTAAAGCAGGACTTTGATTAACAAATTTATAATAGAATATCTTCTCATGGACTATATTCCACTTCATCAGATACGTGAAGTGGTTGGATAATTAGACCATGTAAGTCTTATTGGTTTGTTTCTTTTCCAACTCATGCAAAAGAAGTCACAAAGAGGTTGTGTCCATGGGCAAAAGACATGTCCTATCTCAGCTAGTAAGTTGAAAAATAATTGACTGAATGCACTTGGCCTCCAAAACACCCACAATGTGACCTCAAACCTTACAGAATAAATCATAATAATAATACTTAGAGATGGGCCAACCACCAGCTCAGTGATTCTTGCTGGTCTGTTTCTCAGTCAAACAGGTTTTTGCTGCTTCCTAGCCCCTCCTCCAACAGTAGGCATCCACTCAGAGGCAGCACCCTGGATTTCTTGCCCCATTCCCTCTTGGCACTGCCTCTGCAAGTGTACCCACCAGAGGGACCATGGCTGAGCTGCCAAACCCTGTTTGGCCAAGAAATGAACCAGCATGAACTGCCAGCTCAGTAGTTCATGCCCATCTCTTCTACAACTGCTATTACTGCTTGTTGTTTAGTCGTTAAGTTGTGTCTGCCAGCCGCTGCCTCAATTCTGACTTATGACAATCCTTTTCAGAGTTTTCTGGATAGAAAATACTCAGAAGTGGTTTGCCACTCCCTTCTTTTGGTGGTGTCCTTGGACTCTGTAGCTCGCCCAAGGCCACACAGGATGGTTCTTCTCCCAGAAGGCACAGTGGGGAACCAAGATAATAAGTCAGAACAGGCAAGGGTTATATATCTGAATTCATGGAAAAAAAGCAAGATACAATATTGATTCATACTCTCAACCTTTTACTTTGGTATGCAAAGCTAACTCCAAATAAAATCCTTAATACAAACAGAAAAGCCAGTCATGAAACAGAGTCTTTAGAAAGGACGACATTGCTGTTTGAGGAAAAGCATACACTTGTCATAATTTATAGGGCTAAATTACAGTTCAGAGATAGTGCCATCTGGGTTGTGTTCTGCTTTTGAGCAACCTTCAGCTTAGAAACACAGCAAGACAGCAGCATTCTAATTTGCAACAATGAATGAGACCATTTGTGGATTTGAAAGCAAACAATGACAAGAACTGAAGACAATAGATTTATTCATTTGCTTGACAAGTGCAGCTTAATTTTAATTACTAGTTAATGCAGTATAGCGTATCAGGGTAAAAGTAATGAACCTATGGTAATGAGGCCTCACTACAGCAATTGCTATTAAATCAGAGTTGATAAGCAAGGACAGTCAGCGATTAATTTATGTGAAAAATAGAAGGTGCAGCTGATATTAAACCAGATTCTGTCGTGAGCTTGCATCTATTTTACACCTGATACATCACCTTCTTGAGTGTGTTCAAGTGCCCCTTAAGCTAGTTTCTCTCTCAAGAGCAGAACTCTGATATATGATTTTTTTCTGGCTGTTTTATGTAACATTATAGAAGCAGGTTTATCCTCTCAGAACGCTCTGAAATAAAGATCTATGTATCAAGTAAGTTCACTTGTGATGCATAAGAGTAGAGAAATTGGGCTACTGCAAAGAATGGGTATAACTCTTACCATGGTGCTTGCACAGGGTCACATAGCCAGAAAAGCATGAGTGAAATTATTGGAGACTATATAAACTGGGGAGACATTGGCTATGGTTGCATAAATAATACAGTTCCTCCACTTCCACCACAGAGAAAATAAGGAGAAGAACACACAAGGTAGGCAGATTTGCAACCAGGATAATTAAAAGATGTAGTTTCCAAAGCTGCTAAATTTGCACAGTTGCATTTGAAGCTGTTCTGTTCTTACAGGGCACATCTAAAAGTTTGTGTTGGGGGAACAATGTTTGACTCCTTTGCCTATGCTGCATGGTGTCCCTCAGGACTGTTTCCTATCCCCCATATTATACATGAAGCCACAAGGAAAAGTTATTCAAAGTTTCTGAGTGAGGTGCCATGAATACGCTGATGACATGCACCTCTACTGCTTCTTGTTATCTAACACTAAGGAAGCAGTGCTGCCTGAGCTCAATAATAGACTGGATAAAAGCAAAAATGTGAAAATTAAACCCTTACAAAATGGAGGTGTTACTGCTGTGGGGGTTGGGATTGGGATTCAACATCTTTCTGGAAGACATGACCCTCCCCTGACATGAGGAAGGAGGCCTCCCTGCGGTTATTTCTTATCAGAGATAACAGTGGGATTTTCCCCATCTGTGGTCCGTTTTCAGTTGGGGGAACCCCCAGGAAATTGAGTTTCATCAGGAAACCATTGGAATCTTTGTGGGCCAGATTAGGATCATAGACTGGAGATTCCCCTCTTAATGACTCAAACGACAAAATGTGGTGGTCGTCATAAAATTCAGTGGCACCAAATTACATTGATAATTATGCAATGTGTCACTAGATGACCCTGAGTTCTACTGCTATGAAAGAGACAGAAAAAATATCCCTTTCCACTTTCTCCATGCCATATAGAAACAATCACATGACTGTGTGTGAGTTGCTACTGTGTGAAAAACAACAGTATAAAAGGCAGGGATCCTTGGAAACCATGCTTCCCCAGAGAACTTCCCAATCTGATCGTATAGTCAAACATGCTGATTATATACAGATAGAAAAACTGGCCAAAAGGTGAATGCAGCTTTCCAAAAGATGACAAATTTTCTTGGGACTACACAGCTTGCTTGCTTATTTATTTATTTATAATTTAATTTATTTTATTTACACCCTGCCCATTTAGACAACGTCTACTCTGGGCGGCTTACAATAAAATAGAATAAAAACAATTAACAATTTAAGCAACAATAATAATATCATTCAAGATGGGAAGAAGAAGCTCAAATGAAAAATTAAAGATAGGACAATAAAAATAGAGAAGTAAAGATCAAGTAGTGACAGGAGGGAAGGGCTGCCTAAAGAGCCAGGTCTTAAGCTGGCTCTTAAAAACACCCAGCGAGGGAGCCAGGCGAATCTCTGACAGGAGATTGTTCCAGAGTCGAGGGGCCACTGCTGAGAAGGCCCGGTTTCTTGTTCTTTCTTTCTGGGCCTCCTTGGCATTAAGGCCCCTCAGCCGTCAGGTAACCACTTCCTGGTTCTCCCGCCAATATTCAAAGTGAGGAATCATAGGAATTTGTCACTGCACACAACTTTTGATCATTTCCAAACACATGTGCCAGGGGAAAAATCTGTGTGTTTATTTTTATGAAAATATGCCCCATAGGTCTGGATAAACACACTCTGAGAATACAGATTACTTTGTAAGGCTAGAGACCAAGGGATCTGTTTACCCTTGAGCGAAGTTTGAGAAATTTCTCAATTCCATGACAAAAATTGCCCTGAGAAAGGAATTATTTCCAAAATCCGTTGAGAAAGCTTTAATAAAAGAAGAAACTCTAAGAATATAGTCAATTACCATCATTTCAATTCTAGTGCCTCTCTTTCTCCTCCCTTAGCTTTTTGGTTTCAATATACCACCTAAATGTTCTTCATGCAATCCCAGTATTGACTGATTGACTGTCTGATTGACTGACTGACTGATTGAATGACTGATTCCTTCCTTGGTCTGCAAGATTAGGGCTGCACTAGTTTTAAAAAACGAAATCAAGTCTGTTCTGATTTTCTTTCCTGCTTGAAATGCTAAAATGTATTTAAATTGAAAACATCGTATTTAATTTAGATATTTTTAAAAAACTTTGCTGCTTTGCTATGTTCTTAATATTGTAGTTGCCTTACAATACTTTTTCTATACTAAGAAGAGTAGCAAAGTGTAAGTGCTAATTAAACTACCATATGTATACAAGTATACATTAATGTCTCCATACTCTGGCAGTGTGACCAAAATAATTGCTCCAGTACAAATATTTACTATCAAAATAATTATTTGGAAAGTATTTGCATAATTTTTCAGGTTATCAGAGCTACAATTTAATTAACAATCATGCGCATGTATTCTTGTATGTCACTGAAAAACTGCTCATAATTTTAATCTCAAAGGAGAAACCAAGGAGACATTTTATGTCATGCTTCTCTCTTAGTAATTTTAACATGTAGAAATCTTGCATTCATTTTGCATAAAAGCAATTTCCATGAATATTTTAGTAGGAAATCTCATAGTCTCAAATGTAATAGGCAGTTAAGAGAAAGTGACTAAGCATTTCTCCACAGCTACAGACACATACATTTTTGCTTGTTTTTTTTCTTAAACTCCTCTGCAATGCAGAATATTTTGTAACTTAAGTGTATACATAGGCTACCCAGTCTATCATGCACTATATAAGCTGGAGTCAGGTATGCTGAGTAATTCTGTTTGGTCCACATTTTAAAGTGGATCAACCTAATTTGCACTCCTTGAATTAATAAAAGCATAGGAACACAAGTTGCATTGTTTACAACTCCAAATTTCCCCCTGCTGTTCTCCCACCCCCCAAATATTTGGTACAACATGCATGAAAATGCACATGTTAGTGACAAACACGTGTAATGTGAATGTGGATTTCCCTTCTTCTAAAAAAATATATCCATACAGGATGGAATGGATTTATGCAAAATTAATATAGTCAGGGAAGAGACTGACTATATTTCTGGTATTCTTTACTGTATTTCTCTTCTCACTTAATGGAAATACGTAAACAACAGTGTAATGCTCTGGAAGCCTCTGACTATATATGGAAGGATAAAAAAAGCTAGTACAAATTTTTAAATCTATCCAGTATTAATATATGTTTAGATTCAGATCTGGTCACACCTCAGGAGCTCTCCAATACTGAAGGTACTGTACTCAAGAGCAAGTTAGACAGCCACTTGTCAAATGTACTTTAACTTGAATTCCTGCATTATTCTATGATTCTGTACTTAAGAGAAGACCCACTGAAATAAACTGAACTGATATTAGTAATGAACCACTGATTGCAATGGATTTACTCAACCCAGATCCAACCCAGAAAATATGACAAGAGTTGAACACAACTGGTTATGAGAAACCATGTCCTTTTTCAACAAAGAAGTTAGGTGAACTTTGGAGAAAATGTGCAAAATATATTTGTAAATGACTTGGACAAAAAGGGACCCTCTTCCTTTCTTGTTCCTTATTCTGATTTCTTCCCATAGAGAATACATCTAGTAAATCATAAGAGTGAAACAAAAAGTTGTTCTTTTCCCCCCTAAATACAAACACTGAACATGGAATGGCAAATAAAAAAGGTCTTACTCTGGTATCTAAAAGTCATCAAATCAAGTACCAAGTAGGTTTTCTGGATCCACAGGTGAAAATACCTTTTTGCTGGTTGCCACCTACCTAACCTCTGATGCAGTACAACAAATTAACAGGCGAAGTGAAAAGATAATTCCTTGGTTGGGTGAAAAATATGACAGGTTAAAACATAAGGATGGTAGGGAGAAATGCATGTAGCCAAGAGGTAACCTAGAGCAGAAGAACATAATAAGCAAATGCAGTAGGACCCAATTATCCACAGGATCAATATCTGCTGATTTACTTAGCCATAGTCTGTTTGCTAAAATCCACATTTTTCAGCCTCTGCAGGGGGAGCTTGGAACCAATCCCTCATGCATACATGGTCCTACTGTACTCCCAAGGGGATTCCTTTGAGATTCTTCTGCATTATATACATACAATACTCTGAATGGGGAGGGAAGTGCCAAACTGGTGTATCTTATAGCAGCCTAAGCAGAACCAAGCATAAGATTTTTGAATATCACTCTGGAGTCATAAAGCTTATAAACTTACAAAGATCCAGCCTCCACATTTGGGCCACGTATATAGAATGGGACTCTGATGTCAAATTCATATGGCATGGATTTTCCTTTGACCAGTCCAAATTGTCCAATATGATAGCCATGGTCTGCTGTATATATTACATAAGTATTATCCAGTTCACCTGTTTCAACCAATGTACTGTAAATCTGAAAAACAAAAATATAAAAACATAACCAATGTGCCATTTTATATTAATCCTATATGTAGAAACCCAGAAGTTTGACAGCTGATATATACTATTCTTTATCTCCTTGACTTTTCTGTCTCATAACTTATTTTTAGAAAGGAAAAAAAGGTGACAAATAAGACACAATTTACCCAAATCTATCCTGCAGTGTTGTTTGAATAGTTAAGCACTAAAGCAAAAGTAGTTGCATGGGAACCATGGAGACAGGTAAATTATTTCAAGCAGCCAGAAGGATTTGACACCAACTGCATTATGCTCAGTCCACCTGTATCTTTCCAGCAGTATGCATTAATTGTTGACTGTCTGACCTTCCTTCCCAGTATGTCAGTAAGGAACATTTCCAATGATCTTTCAACCTCCTTCAGGTTATATAGGAGCTGTGAAGCTACATGGAATCCTACAAAGAATCCTACATTCCCAGAACTCCCCAGCCACTATGGTTATATTGTCTGAATAATATTGGAGTTCTATATATTATCGCTTACAATTCCCCACCCCCAGAATGGATATGGATACTGAGAATTGTACTCCCAGAAGTGTTTATGTTTTGAGCTGTGCTATGTACAGATTAAGGATGGGGTTTCACTTTAACATAACCACAGTATGTCTTATTGTAACTAGCCTTAAAGATCATGATTTAACACATCAGCTACTATGCTTTCAAATTGAAAATTAAAGCATATTTGACTAATTTTTCAAGTAATTATGTGTTCAGTAGATTGGCACCCTGCATTAAAAAATCCAGGGTAAAATATGAAATGTCTATGCCGTTTTCCATAGAAGACTCTTAGCTTTGGGAAATAAAGGGGAAACCAGGACAAGTTATGACCCAGATACCTCAGTGTCTGATTTAGAATAGCAGGTCAAGAGAGAGGTATTTCTGGAATGCACCTATGAGAAAGCATAAGGGGTAAGTTGGACTGACTGGCTGGATTTCAGAATTCATTGTACCTAATTATATTCATAAATTTCAATTTCTGTGAGTTGTTGTTGTTGTTGGTCGTTTAGTCGTGTCCGACTCTTCGTGACCCATGGACCAGAGCATGCCAGACCCTCCTATCTTCCACTGCCTCCCGGAGTTCTGCCAATTTCATGTTGGTTGCTTCGCAGACACTGTCCAGCCATCTCATCCTCTGTCGTCCCCTTCTCCTCTTGCCGTCACACTTTCCTAACGTCAAGGTCTTTTCCAAGGAGTCTTCTCTTCTCATCAGATGGCCAAAGTACTGGAGCCTCAGCTTCAGGATCTGTCCTTCCAGTGAGCACTCAGGGTTGATCTCCTGCAGAATTGATAGGTTTGTTCTCCTTGCAGTCCAGGGGACTCTCAAGAGCCTCCTCCAGCACCACAGTTCAAAGGCATCAATTCTTCGGCTGTCTGCTTTCTTTATGGTCCAGCTCTCACTTCCATACATCACTACAGGAAAAACCATAGCTTTGACTATGCGTACTTTTGTTGGCAAGGTGATGTCTCTGCTTTTTAAGATGCTGTCAAGGTTTGTCATCGCTTTCCTCCCCAGAAGCAGGCGTCTTTTAATTTCGGGGCTGCTCTCTCCATCTGCAGTGATCATGGAGCCCAAGAAAGTAAAATCTGTCACTGCCTCCATATCTTCCCCTTCTATTTGCCAGGAGGTGATGGGACCAGTGGCCATTATCTTAGGTTTTTTTTTTTTTGATGTTGAGTTTCAGGCCGTTTTTTGCACTCTCCTCTTTCACCCTCATTACAAGGTTCTTTAATTCCTCCTCACTTTCTGCCATCAGAGTAGTATCATCTGCATATCTGAGATTGCGTATCTGTGAGTTGACTTAGGGTTAAAAATAAAGCAAGCTTTCAACTTAGGTAAGTTACAAAATTGATGGCAAACAGCACCAAGTGCTTACAATAGCACTTGAGCGAAATATCTTCCCAGAGCAAACCACCAATCAGTAGTAACAGTAATCACCATAATAACTAGTAGGCTGATTCCAGGCCTTCATAAAAGTTTAATCTTGCCTTCTTAGGATGCCTGCATTATACTTAATCACAATCAAAGTGAAAGAATATTGGATAAGCAGCAATAAATGCTTTTGCCTCCATGCCTGACTGGCAGCTTTACTGGCTTGAGCACAACCCTATCAATTTTCACAGAAGGTGCCAACTGAAATGAATGTCACTGCAGCACAGGGGTACAGTTAGCTCTGTAAGATATTTCTGCTTCATTTTAATATCACAAATTTGAGCACAAGCTAAGTGAGGATCACTGGAGCATTATAAATACATAAATACATAAATGGCTTTATACGGACTCAATGGTAAATCTTCTAGTTTTTAGGATCAAATCTTGGCAGGCATGTAATCTATTGACCTTTAAACCAAATATATGATGGATTGAACCTGGAGGCTCCAGCAGGCAAATCATGGACTACACCACCACCCATCACAAAAACTGGACACTCTTTATTTTTAAGTGCTCTCATCTTGTTCCTTTCTCAGAGGTCTCATTTCCCCAGCAAAAGGAGAGTTTGGGTCCATCCACTTAATTTATTATTATTATTACCTTTTTGTAGTTAAAATATTTCTACCTCCCTGGTCTCAATGGATGGGAGGAAATCAATACAAACATTTTAAAATAGTGTCTGAGATCCTGTAACTTAGTATAGTAAATCACACTACAGTGGGCCTACGGAATCAGTGGGGATTCGGTGAATCAACTCTCTGTAAGTTCCCCTGATTCAAATAGGTCTACTCTGTTTGCACCTTACTTTAGTGTAGTGGGTCACAACTAAAGAAGGCCTATTTGGGTCAAAAGAACTAAATAGAGGAGTTGATCAGCAAATCCCCAGAGATTCAATGGACCTACTACCGTGTAACCAACTATGCTAAGCAACAGGATTTCAGAAACCTACCGTGGATTTATATCAGTATATGTGTAATCACATAAATCATAGTAGTGAATTGTGCTAATTAGCAAGCTGGTGCTTATATTCCTAGCTGTGCATGAAGTCTGGCACCAGATTATGAAAGTGAACTACAACTTGTTAATTAACTGCAATTCTCTGCTGTGAGATTCACAATTTCCATTTATACTTATGCCAGTGTAATTCTACAATAGGATGCTGGCCAAAAACATGAAATAACAGAAAAACTCACAATCTGAGATCACAAATGGAAATTCAGAACAAAACATACACTAGGGCAAGTTTTAAGGTATCAAAATGAGATCACCATCAGAGCCAGTCAGGCCATTCCATAACTGTTGGTGTAAATTAACAGAGCGTTTGTCCCAGTCCAGGCAGTTCAATTGATCACACAAACACAGGCAGCTCCTTCCTTCACCAAAATGTGTTTACAGTATATACAGCAGTACAAACCGGCAGCACGACGGCATGACATCCAAAGAAGAGATCCATACATCTTCTGTACATGTCCATACATATATACACATGCATATTTGCATACAACCAATCATGGGGGATATTGCATCATCCTGCATGACTCAGTGTTCTGCATGTCTGTGAAATATGGCTGCTGATTACCACTTGTTGAGGTTGGAAATTATCCTTGACAATAACTATGGCAGAGAAGACCCTCTCTCATGTTTCCAAATGATGCACTCTCCCTGACTAAGAGAGGCAAAAGCCCTCCCCCCAGTGCCTGAGCAGGTGAATAAAAATCTGACCATGCCCATTCGTTTACATTTATATCAGAGACATGGTTCAAAAACAACTCCAAAACACTGCCTTCACATTTTCAGCACAAATTACTTTGGGAAAATGCTTAAGAATTGAGAATGGACTCCTTCGCCCTTGGAACCTCAGCTCTAATTATTACCTTGGAATTAGTGCTCCAATTAAAGGAGGAGGTGGTGAGAGGATGACTCCTTCACTACTGTTTAAAAGACCAGACGTGATAGGCTCACACAACCATTATTTATGGCTGCTCTCTTGTATCCATCATGTTCCTCTATGACTGTAGGCCTGGCTGGTAAAAGGGACAGCCTTTGATCTCTTGCAGGGGTCAGGGAACTTTTTTATCTCCCCCCCCCCCCAAATT